ATGCACCATGCAATGCAACTAAAACTGTTTTACATACTTTCAAACAAGCATAAATCATTTTAAAATCCCAAATCGAGAAGTAAAAGTTTGTATTCAGCCAGCATTGTGTGCATGTAATCACGCATACATATAAGTACTATACCCAAATTGAAAACTTTCTGGTTGTTAGATAACTGAAAACTGACTCAACCCTCCTTCCCAAAATCTATTTATTATAAAGAACCCAACGACTAACGATTGACGAACGTATATCCCTTGTTACGTGTTACAGCAGTAGTGGCGAAACTTCTAATTTCCCTATGGGCAAAACCCTGGTCAGCATAAGGCACGCGTAATCGCGCATGCGCACTGAGTCGAATTCCGGTTTATTCTGGAAATTATTAAGTGAGGCCTCGGTTACAGTAAGTGAGCCTTAATTTGTTACAAATAAGGACTGATTAACCCGAATTGGATCAATTCTAAAAAAGTACATTCACTTACCGAAGCAAAGCAACTCACTTGGGACAGATAGACAGTCGACTAAAATAAAATTTCAACTGAACTATCATATAGCCACAAGACTTTTTTTTGTTGCGGTAGCAAACACGTTTCAGCAAAACGTACTTACTTGTGGCAGCATGAACTTTTTTCTGTGACAGCAAAAGTTTTACCTTCTTAGCTAAAATATCTTAGTAGAGCCCCTCACTTGGTGGATTTCTTTCAGTGTATCTGAAACTGCTTTTTGCCTTTTAAAATGTGAAAAATATAGTCAATCCTGCATCTGGTGGTCATTGCTACTTAATGACTAAGATCTTCAATTTGGTCAAAAAGTGCTGTCTCACCTGTGGCATACTGATTAGACCTAACTAGTCCGAAACTGATCTATGTCCGATGAGTTCGGCCGACGCGTGATCCTAGCTTTGTTTACTAAATTCTTATGCAATTTTGTCCGTATTATCATTTCGAAATACGTGTCTTACTATACATAAATAATAATAATAACTAAGAAACACAAATAAGGCAACTGATACTTTGCTTCCAAAGTAAACAGGACTTCAAAAATAGGTATTTCTGGTGAGGCCATCTATTGGCAATTATATACCTCGGAAAGGTAGATCCTTGAATGACGTACTTTCAAAATTTCATGACATTTGGATGAATAGAAGCGGAGTTATTGCGCCTGAAGTGCCAGTATGTGTCATCGGTACAAAAATGAGCACCGAACAAAGAGCTAATATCAAGTTTTGTTTTAAACTTGGTAAAACTTATAACGACACTTTTCAATTGATGAACCAAGTTTATGGTGATGATTGTTTATCCTATAACAGAGTTCATGAACTCGGTTTAAAATCGGTCGTGAAAAATACATAAATGATAAGCAGCATGTTGGCCAACCGCGAATTCATCAAAGATCAGCCAAAATCTTATTGAAATTCATGGAATTAGAATTGGGCATCTCAAAAACATCAAATTATCACATTTTGGCCGAACATTTGGGCTACCAAAAAGAGTGTGTACCTACGATTTGTTAAGCACAAGTTAACTGACGGCTAAAAATTGCTTAGAATTCAACATTCAAATGACTTCATCAAGGAGGTTGAAAAGGTTAAAAACTTCCTTTACAACATTGTGACTGGTGACGAAACGTGGTGTTTTCAATATGATCTAGAAACCAAGCACCATAGTACCGAATGGAATGCGCCAGAAATGAAGACAATGTTGATTAGCTTTTACGATTCTAAGGGTATTGTCCACAAAGAGTTCTATTTTGGCGTTTTGAAGCGTTTGGTCATCGTATTCGTCGTATTCGTCTATAATATCGCGCAGAAGGAAGGCGTTTGTTGCACGATAATGCGCCATCTCATCAATATACAGTTGTGACCGATTTTTTGAGTAAAAATCACATTTCGACTATCAACCACTCCCCGTATTTGCTGGATTTGGCACCGTGTGACTTTAACCTTTTCGGAAAAACGCATATGCCGATGAAAGGAAAGCGTTTTGTGGACACAGGAGGAGCCATCCAAAACGTTTGTACCGACATCCTGAGAGGCCAATATCAGATAACTTTGACTACCGAAATTAATGCGCATTTAATCCAATAAAGTTGTACTCGGCTTATAGGGACCGCAAAAAATATTCCAAACAGGATGATTTTTTCAGGGTTTCTTGGCCTCCTGAGTATCTAACCAAAAGATCACACTCGAGCTCCTGGTAGGAGTTGTGCTATGGGGGTGGTTTCCTAAACATTTTTTTAAAGCAAAATGTCCTGCGCAAAGAAATGTTTAACATCAAATCGAATCCACGGATGCTTACTTTTTCTGCTTCTGGACTAAAACTATCAAATATTAAGAGAAATTATTTTGTATTCATACTCGTAAATCTGGGATGTAGGTATGTATTTATTTGATTAGTTCTTTTTCCGTTCTTTTAATAAATTAAGATGTTTATTTATTTAATTATGAAATTACAATTTCCACTAAAAATAAATTATGGGTACAGTAAATTCTACGATAAAAATGGAAGAGGTTAATTTCACATAAACTTGAAATACAAGTAAATAAACAAAATAGATATCCAAAAATGAATAACACTTGTTTTGGAATTAAACAATAACATATAATTACTAACGATAAGAATAATTAAATAAAAGAACAACAATAAAACATGAGAAAACAAAAAATCTATATAGACAAACAAAAATATTCACCTATCAATCTCATAACAATTGTAATATATCACATTACATTATTTAGACAAACCATTTAGATTAAAATACATATACACACACAATGTTCAACAAATAATAGTAATAATAATATTTTTTATAGTATCGATAATAAAAAAGTATTTATGCAATAACTAATCAACTGATTCTAGATTCAAAAATATCGCGAATTGTTTTTCTGGGCATATAAAATATACATTTTTTAACGTTTTTTTTTTTTCAATAAATAAGTACTCGTAATCATTTTAGCATCAGTTGGAAATGTGTTATAAATCTTCGGAGCTAAATAAGTGTAACTTTTGACGAATAGTTTTCGACATAAAAGGTGTATTGGAGTTGTGTTTGTGTCTGGTGTTATACCCATGAATCGGTAAGCATATTTCAGGTTTTGTAAAATGGTATCTGATATTTATTTTATAGAAATACAATTGTCTAATATCAAATAGCCCAGCATCTGCATACAAACGATCCGATGGATACATGTATTCTTTATTAAAAATTATAATAAATACATTTAAAATTTACCAGTTTACCAGTTTTGGGAAATATACATTCATTTTCTTTTACAGCTAGTTTTTTGGGACCAATTACTTTCGTCCCTTAGGAATACGAACCTTGCCCTTGTAGTTACGAGTATAATAATCAGAAAATGTGAAATGTAAAACATCGTACAAAACTCTAGACTTCTTTCAGCTGGCTACATATTTGCATTATCGTTTTAAGTGTGCAATAGCGTTGTGTCTATAGGAACGACAAAAAGTAAATAGAGTACAANGGTCTTTCACAGTTAAGGTTACAGGTATAATACATTCCGATAATATTACGCTAATCTTCATTTTCAACCTTTGTTAAAACAGAAATGTTTTTGAACATTTACTGAATTTTTTAAAGTATAATATTTATTTGGCGTTTTGGTTGTTCATATGAATTTTTAAGAATTAATTTGTCATAATAAAATTAAAATTGTAAAATAATAATTTGATTCTGACGCAACAACTTATCGAGTTATGTATGACCAGGTGATGGTAATAGTTAATAATAATAAATGTTTTATTGTAATGCACGGTGGTAATAGTTTAAATAACTAGATGGATTTCACACTTGCAGTGTACGATAATTCAATAAACATAGAAGTCTAAATAAAAAAGTTAGATAAATTTGGAACAAATACACTGAAGACGAATTTTTCAAGACAAAACATCTGAATCTGGTTCGAACTGAGGCAGTAATAAAATTTCCAGGGACGTATTTAAAAAAATTAAGTTGATGGTGGTTCTGGAAAAACGAAACATTACATATAAAAATTAATTATGCCATTCCATAGAGGGCAAAAAGTTGCTATGAGAAAAGTGTTCGTCTTTTTTGAATATCACCTCAAACAAGGCTGAAATGAAAGAAAATCAGATTTATAAAAATTTCAGTTTTTTTCAAATATTTTGAAAACTAATCATGTTAGTCTTGATTTTTTAGAGGCATAATGTTGGTCCCTTCATTACGCAACTTTGCCCCCATTTAAGATACTTCGTATCTCTTACTGAAATCAACTGATAAATACAATATAGGTAGTATTTTTTTATTTAAAATTTAAATTTTTTCATTTAAAATTTAAACTTTGGTGAAATTTAAGGGAACTATGAAAATTTTTTGAAAAATAAGAAAACATCTGTTTGTATTGATTAAGAAAAAAAATAGTTTGCATAATATACAACCCTTTCTGAGATCTGAGGGGAAGATATCCTTATTTAGAATTTAGAATAGGAGAAAATGTATGTGAATATACTTTTTTGATTGAATCGTCATGTGTTCCCATTTGAACAAATACACTTAACTCAAATATATAATTCAGTTATCCTCTCAAAAACTTATGTTCATCTGCTAGGCAATTAACCAGGTACAAAATTTGATTTAAATTATTAGGCAAAACACTTAAAACAACTTATTTGAAAATATATTTTGTTTTGTCAAATTTAAGGCCGTCTAGCGGCTATATAAAGAATAAAAATTTAATTCATCTTAATTTCACCTAAAAGTCTTCAGTAGTTACATATATGTACCTACATGAAATATTGCAACACCCTGTATAATATTTGTAAAGTCCATAATATTTGATTACTAAACTATCATCTACCGGTGAATACACTAAAGTAAAAATTTCAACTACAGTGTTTACAATAATAGTAAAAATGAGAAAAGTGGACACGAGAGACGATACGAGTTGGATTTTATTTTCCAGCAATGTTATCAGAACATAAAAAACAATACAGTGGCTTTCAACTTCAATAGCTTTTCAAATTTAAAGACGCTAGATGGCGGGTTGGTACTTCATTGATACTGCTCAAGCTCACGAATGACAAGGCATGGAAGTGATTGGGGATTTTTATGCGTATCAGACATCTATATAGCTGGTTAAAATATCGATTGGCGGTTAGTTTAACACGATGTCTCAGTATGTGGCACCGATTCTTGTGTTAAATCTCGGCTCAGAAATGATATTCGTGATTGCTCAACGACTGCAAGCTCAAAATATACCTCATGAACGGGCCACACTAGGTGATCATACATTTGTACACGACACACTTCCCACTTTTCACTTCTGCCGGCAGGTTTTTCGAAAATTCCTGCAATCTGCACGATGCTTTTTTGTTTGTACTCTTTCGTTTTGTATAAGGCTCGATTTAGTTAAGTACGTATTGCGCATCGCTTTATTAATTCTTTGTATATCTCACATCACAAAAATACGCGCATTTGTATAAACACTTCCTATAACAATCTCTGCAAAAGCAATAACTATAGAATTCCTGTTATATGTAGCTTCATGCTTCGAATAAGGCTTATATGTCAAATAGCAGTGGTGTAGGCAAGAGAATTTTTACGGGGGCAGAAAACAGTTCATGAAAGTAGGGGTAAACTCCGATGACAAACAATATTTTGTGTACGCCACAAATTCACGTGAATCAATAAAAAAATTCAATTGAAGATCGATTGCTTTTTTGTATGCTATCTGTATATATTATCTATTATTATTTGCTGAGTATATTGGTACGCTTGGTAAGATAGTATAAATTGGTAAAGTAATACTCATCGCTAATTTCCAAACAATATAAAACCTTACCCATCTATTCAAAACGATTCAAGACTCCATAAACATAGGTATTTAAATACCAACAGCTATAATCATCTTCTATTCAAGGACAACAAATTTAACAACATCCTGTGCAAATAAATACATATTGATTAGTATGCGTCTATGCTATCATAAAAAGTAAGAATATAAAAGATGCATTTAAAAAAATATATACACGACGACAATCCGCCGGCAAATCAATATCTTCCAACAGAAAAAATATTGATGAAATTCGTTTACAAAAATACTCTGGTATATGTTTACGTTTTAAAATGATAAATACATATGTAACTATTGATTGAATAGAAGCGAAACACAAAATAACATTTGGACGTCTTTGAGTGGGGTATTTTGTATTCCCTTAATTACAAAATGTAATTTTGAATTTATATGTAATTCACCCTTATATTGGTCGTAACCTTAATTGCGTGACGGAGTAAAAATATCAATTTTTAATTACACTATAGGTACTTACAGGGTGTAACTATAAAATGTTTGGCCAAATGTTAATAGCGGACTATATCTTAAAAAGGTTTCTATAAATATGAGATGGAAAATATTTTGTGTTCTACATTCAATAAGTGCGCTTTCAAAATTAATGAGAAGATAAGGATACGTCTTAAAATACCTGAGGAAATAAGCCGCATGTAAATAATATATTTTTTATTCATGGATATATCGTAAACTTTAGAATTATTTGTTTACCATCCCAATTTTGAACACGTTTTTAAATAGTATTCAATATTTTAAATGTTAATTACAATCTAAAAATTATCTGAAAGCAAATATTTTATTTAATCATTTTCTGCGTGATTAATGAAATATTTGTACAAAAAAAGTATTTTATAAAAATAATTTAGTTTTTAAAAATATTATAACCCCCTAATCTTGTCAAAAAATAAAAAAAATGTATAAAATTTTTATGTTTAGTTTAGTTGTGTTTTGAACATATTTTTAAAATGTCACATTCGACTAAAAGTTAAGAAAATATTAATTTTTCTTTTTGATGTAGAATCCGTCTATTTTATTGTTTGTTCGTCGTTAATATTCCCCCAATCTTTCTTGTTTCAGTTTTGGAAGAAATCATATCTGTTTTGATATCAAAACCGCTCATAGTAGACCTGATGAAACCTCAGACAACTCACGACCACAACAGCGTGCGTGCGATAATAGAGGACGTCACGCAATCATCAGCGATGAGACTGGACCCCATAAGTATGGGGAAGCTATGGGATCTCATAACCATGGTGTTTAAATGGCAAGTGTCCATGTCTGACAATTTAATAGGAATCACTTTAAGACATCTCTATGAAATAGAGAGCTACATCATCAATCCAGATACTCATCAGCAACTGCTCAGGGTCCAAAATTTGGTTGAAAACTTCAATAAGATTTTGGATCAAAAGGAAAAAACTGCCCTGCATGAAGATGTACTTTTTTGGCTCAAGAATTATAATGTTAGGGTTTCTCTCCTGCTGAGAATGGGGTTGCAGAATATGGACGGGAATTTTGTAGTTAACAATCTAGATCCTATTGCTGAAGAAATGCTTAGGAATTTGGGTAAGTAAGTCGGAAAAGGCATGAATCATTAAAAATTCTGTATGAATTATCTAAAAAATTATGGAAATATGATGAAATCTGTATGTGCTTGAACACCCTGCTGTACGTATTAAATGTTGGAAAAGGATCTATTCATATTATGTGGCATAGTGAGTACATATTTTGTAAATTCGATAACTGCATGTAGTGACATTCCTAAAAGAATAATCATCTGTTTTAACTAACATTATCACTTCACTTCAATAAAAGTGAAATAATTCTATCCTACCCCTTTCTTAAAAAAAATCCATAAATCCAAATAAATAGTTCTAGAATTATGCACTGACAGAATTTCTTTGCTATGGTTAGTAAAAATCCATTAACCGTAACAAAACATCTGCATTAAATAGGCGCCAAGAGAGTTACCTACGCAAATACCAAATTGAAAACTTTCTGGCAGTTGTTAGACAACTGAAAACTGACTCGACACTCGATGACAAAACATCTATTTATTACAAAGGACCCAACGACTAATGATTGACGAATTTATATCCTGTGTTACGTGTTACAGCAAAATGGCGAAACTTCTAACTTCTCTATGGGCGAAGCCATGGTCAGCATAAGGCACGCGTAATCGCGCATGCGCACTGAGTCGAATTCCGGTTTATTCTGGAAATTATTAAGTGAGGCCTCGGTTACAGTAAGTGAGCCTTAATTTGTTACAAATAAGGACTGATTAACCCGAATTGGATCAATTCTAAAAAAGTACATTCACTTACCGAAGCAAAGCAACTCACTTGGGACAGATAGACAGTCGACTAAAATAAAATTTCAACTGAACTATCATATAGCCACAAGACTTTTTTTGTTGCGGTAGCAAACACGTTTCAGCAAAACGTACTTACTTGTGGCAGCATGAACTTTTTTCTGTGACAGCAAAAATTTTACCTTCTTAGCTAAAATATCTTAGTAGAGCCCCTCACTTGGTGGATTTCTTTCAGTGTATCTGAAACTGCTTTTTGCCTTTTAAAATGTGAAAAATATAGTCAATCCTGCATCTGGTGGTCATTGCTACTTAATGACTAAGATCTTCAATTTGGTCAAAAAGTGCTGTCTCACCTGTGGCATACTGATTAGACCTAACTAGTCCGAAACTGATCTATGTCCGATGAGTTCGGCCGACGCGTGATCCTAGCTTTGTTTACTAAATTGTTATGTAATTTTGTCCGTATTATCATTTCGAAATAGAACAAAGAGCTAATATCAAGTTTTGTTTTAAACTTGGTAAAACTTATAACGACACTTCAATTGATGAACCAAGTTTATGGTGATGATTGTTTATCCCATAAGAGAGTTCATGAACTCGGTTTGAAATCGGTCGTGAAAAATACATAAATGATGAGCAGCATGTTGGCCAACCGCGAATTCTTCAAAGATCAGCCAAAATCTTTCATGGAATTAGAATTGGGCATCTCAAAAACATCAAATTGTCACATTTTGGCCGAACATTTGGGCTACCAAAAAGAGTGTACCTACGATTTGTTAAGCACAAGTTAACTGACGGCTAAAAATTGCTGAGAATTCAACATTCAAATGACTTCATCAAGGAGGTCGAAATGGTTAAAAACTTCCTTTACAACATTGTGACTGGTGATGAAACGTGATGTTTTCAATATGATCTAGAAACCAAGCACCATAGTACCGAATGGAATGCGCCAGAGCCACAACCCAAAACATATCGGTTGGAGAAGTCAGAAATGAAGACAATGTTGATTAGCCTTTACGATTCTAAGGGTATTGTCCACAGAGTTCTATTTTGGCGTTTAGAAGCGTTTGGTCATCGTATTCGTCGTATTCGTCCATAATATCGCGCAGAAGGAAGGCGTTTATTGCACGATAATGCGCCATCTCATCAATATACAGTTGTGACCGATTTTTTGAGTAAAAATCACATTTTGACTATTAACCACTCCCCGTATTCGCCGAATTTGGCACCGTGCGACTTTAACCTTTTCGGAAAAACGCATATTCCGATGAAAAGAAACCGTTTTGTGGACACAGGAGGAGCCATCCAAAACGTTTGTACCGACATCCTGAGAGGCCAATATCAGATAACTTTGTCTACCGAAATTAATGCGCATTTAATCCAATAAAGTTGTACTCGGCTTATAGGGACCGCAAAAAATATTCCAAACAGGATGATTTTTTCAGGGTTGCTTGGCCTCCTGAGTATCTAACCAAAAGATCACACTCGAGCTCCTGGTAGGAGTTGCGCTATGAGGGTGGTTTCCTAAACATTTTTTTAAAGCAAAATGTCCTGCGCAAAGAAATGTTTAACATCAAATCGAATCCACGGATGCTTACTTTTTCTGCTTCTAGACGAAAACTATCAAATATTAAGAGTAATTATTTTGTATTCATACTCGTAAATCTGGGATGTAGGTATGTATTTATTTGATTAGTTCTTTTTCCGTTCTTTTAATAAATTAAGATGTTTATTTATTTAATTATGAAATTACAATTTCCACTAAAAATAAATTATGGGTACAGTAAATTCTACGATAAAAATGGAAGAGGTTAATTTCACATAAACTTGAAATACAAGTAAATAAACAAAATAGATATCCAAAAATGAATAACACTTGTTTTGGAATTAAACAATAACATATAATTACTAACGATAAGAATAATTAAATAAAAGAACAACAATAAAACATGAGAAAACAAAAAATCTATATAGACAAACAAAAATATTCACCTATCAATCTCATAACAATTGTAATATATCACATTACATTATTTAGACAAACCATTTAGATTAAAATACATATACACATACAATGTTCAACAAATAATAGTAATAATAATATTTTTTATAGTATCGATAATAAAAAAGTATTTATGCAATAACTAATCAACTGATTCTAGATTCAAAAATATCGCGAATTGTTTTTCTGGGCATATAAAATATACATTTTTTAACGTTTTTTTTTTTCAATAAATACTCGTACTCGTAATCATTTTAGCATCAGTTGGAAATGTGTTATAAATCTTCGGAGCTAAATAAGTGTAACTTTTGACGAATAGTTTTCGACATAAAAGGTGTATTGGAGTTGTGTTTGTGTCTGGTGTTATACCCATGAATCGGTAAGCATATTTCAGGTTTTGTAAAATGGTATCTGATATTTATTTTATAGAAATACAATTGTCTAATATCAAATAGCCCAGCATCTGCATACAAACGATCCGATGGATACATGTATTCTTTATTAAAAATTATAATAAATACATTTAAAATTTACCAGTTTACCAGTTTTGGGAAATATACATTCATTTTCTTTTACAGCTAGTTTTTTGGGACCAATTACTTTCGTCCCTTAGGAATACGAACCTTGCCCTTGTAGTTACGAGTATAATAATCAGAAAATGTGAAATGTAAAACATCGTACAAAACTCTAGACTTCTTTCAGCTGGCTACATATTTGCATTATCGTTTTAAGTGTGCAATAGCGTTGTGTCTATAGGAACGACAAAAAGTAAATAGAGTACAAAGAACTCAGCAGTGTGTATCCGCTGTAGACAAAAGAATGGATGGAAACGAAAACAGGCGTTCGACCGTAAAAAAAATTAACGGGGCGGTCGTTTCTCATTTATCTAGAATTGGATGCGATTCATACTTGCATGTCTGTATCATTATTAATAAAATGACAAAAATTCGTATCTATAGGGCGAGTCAAGTTTTTGTAGTCAAAGTTTAATACTCCATAGAAGAGAGAGAAAAACGTTTATGTAGATATAGTTCGTACTTAGAACTTGTTTTCGAGGAACAAAGTATTGAAGAATTAACCAAAATTCTTATTCAAATATTTCTGAAGATGTTTAAAGTAGATTGATAAAACTTGAATTTATGATTTGTTTAATTATGCGCAAAATGTCATCAAGTTGGTATACAAATCAGTCAAATAGTGGCGTAGGTACTTAAAAACAGTCACTAAAATAATTTGTCACTTTTGTGTTATTTTTTTAAATTTAAAGTAAATTTCGAAATTCGAAAACAACTAATAAATTTGACAAAGAAATATAGAAACTTTTTGCGCACAGTCTCAGCTACATACTCTCCTTACTTTTAATGAATTTTCACAACCTTCACTCACTCATCCGTCGTACAACGCTCTTTTTTGTCTAACCGCAACGTGTTTACTACAACATGTAACCCTGCACAATGTTACCAACACTTCGAAATAAAAATATGCACAATTCAAATCCTGCAAAATATTGTAATTTAATCAAACTTACCTATATACAAAGTTGCACCCCTGAGGAGTTATTAGCCCCCAACGTGGGGCCCTAAATTTCGAAAAAAATTAATATCTGCAACACTTTATCGCAGAAGAACCAAATTTGGTACATGATTTAGGTTTATTACTGGTCTTGTTTGACCCCTAAAATTGTACCGAACTTTTTTTTCATTGACCGAATTGAAAAATAATAATATTAATTTACAGCAGAATGTAATTTAAAAAAAATATTTTACTCTTGTTAAATTTTAAAAAACTTTATGGTTTTCAAGAATAACCGTATTAACTGAAACAAGATTTTAACGGTGTTTATTAGAAAATATTCGAAAAGGCAATAAATTTATCTTTCAAACTTGTCAGTTAGTTATAAAATTATTTTGTTTCAACAATTGCCTCTGATTGTTGTTGAAAAAATATCAATTATTATTTTTTATTATTTATTTGTGTTTTTTACTTAATACAATACATATTCGCTTAAAAACTACCTAGGTACTTGTTTTCTTTTTGTAGAATTAGGAGAGAAGTGAAGTAAAATTTACTTGGCCAATTGTCAAATTTTAAAGATAAAGCCTACTACTAACTTTTTTCTAACACAGAAAATTTTTCCTGAAAAATTTTTTTTTAGTAAACGTCATGAGTAGAATATTTTCATTTACCTTATATCTCCCTTTTTACGGGAAGTTACCGTTTCCACATGTTTTATTACCACAGATTTCTAAAACTTCTTTGGA